AATAAATTTTTTTTTTTTTTTTTTTTTTCAAATATTTATTACCAAATATCACAAATTATATTTACACTTACAACCTAAACGTTGACAAAATCCTTTTTAAATCCTCTTATTTAGCAAGAAAGAAAAAAAAAAAAAAAACACAAAAGAAAAAAGAAGAAGAAGCAAAAGAGGAAATTAAAAAAAATAAAATAATGAAAAAAAGTTTAGTTTGATTTTATATGATTGCCACTGATGTTGGTCGCGTTACTCGTGTTATTATTGCCATTATAGTAACCATTTTGTTTGGTAATTTTTTTCACTTTAACCGTATCCGCTTCGACTTCAGCTACGGTCGGTGGCCCCCAAGAGACTTGTCTTTTAACGGACGCTTTACGTTCTACAATATCATCGCTGTTGTTAATATTCTGCAATTTCGATTTAATAAAAAATTCCAATAATTTTTGTGAGAGATTTTCATTTTTGCATTTTTTGTTTGCAAAATGGCAAAATTGTTTTAGTTGTTTCTTTCACTTATCCGATTAGCATGCTTTGGTTAGAAGATGATTTAAGAATTTATTCTCTTAGGCATGCATTAATGCAAATTTTTAAATAATATTTAATATATTTGCCTAAAAACCATTTTGTTTTATTTTTTATTTTTTATTTTTTTGTCATCAATCATATCGAACCAATTGATAATTAACGTGCATTCGCCATTTACTGGGAAATTAATTCATTGAGACAGAGGCAGCCATTATGTCAAGTGCTGTAAATATGAAAGATTGGATTTGTCGTTGTTTGCTTTTTTTTTTTTTTTTTTTTTTAAAACATTATCATGCATTTCAGGTTTGGCACACACTACTAAAACTTACTGCTTTTGTTTATTAGAAGAATTAATTAGAAAAGTTAGTAGAATCTTCGCTTAAACTTCCAATTAAAGTGAAAATAATTCATTTAAATGAAGAAGGCAGTTATATGTGGATATGGGTTCAAATCGTTTAATATTAGATTGCAAACTCACTTGTGGGTGCGTGGGTATGTTAAGTTTGTTTGACGATGTACATGCAACAACGAAGAGGATTTTAGATATTGCCATCTTATTTTTATTATACCGATCGATTCAGATAGTTATTCTAAGGTCACGTTCCGTATGCTTGCATTTAATCTACTGGTTACAATTTTTGAAATATTTTGTTTCAGTTGCAGCAAAACGCCCGATGTATGCTTTGGACGAAGAACGAACCCTATTGAAAATGGTTCGGATGGGCCAAATTTTGGAAAGTCGTTATATGAATACCTGTAGGATGATGTAGGGTATTTAATGGTGGGCCGTGGCCCGCCGACGAACCTTTGGTTCAATTTAGTGGATTTTTTAATTTGGTTTGATTCATTTATTAACGAACTTGAAATATGGGGAAGAGAGAAAAAATCATCGATTTTTTACTTACTTGGCGAGAGTGATGAGACGAAGCTTAAAAGTCGTAATCGTGACTGCAACGAACAAGTAAATGGATGAGTTAAAAAACGGTCAAGAACATAAGTCTATCTACATCGATTCCACTATTTACGCCAGCCAAGAATGTATATATATACATATACATATATATATATATATATATAGAGTGGGGAAACATTATCCTTCCGATTTCGCCATGAGACAAACAATTACCAGGTTACCACATTCTGTACTACGTTAGAGAAACGCTTATCATATTACAATTTCGGCGTTTACGATCTCTGATGACAGACGGACAGACATAATCAAATTAATTCAGAATCTATTGCTGATCATTGGACGAATGGAGGGAAAAGTACAGTGATGAATGTTGGTATACAACTAGGGAGTCTCTTAAATAAGAGCCGATATAGGTTCGCATCCTATGAAAATTCAAAGCAACATTGTTTTGCGGGACTCATCTTCATTTGTCTGAATTGCGTAAATTAGCAAAATTTGTGAGGATTTAGAAAAGGCAAGAGCAAGAAGTGACAATTTGGAACGTTGTTTTGACTGAAGAAGTAATTGGACCATACATTCCTGTAGATAGTCGTGTTATCGACCAGTGTTGAATGGTTTTCTTTATTTTTATTATTTATTTATTTTTTTTTTTGCGTGAGATTGACGCTATAGATGTGTTTAGCCGAAGGACGGTACACCTGTCAAAAAACTCGTGAAACAATGAGTTAATAGCGTGAAAAATATAAATTGTAACACTTCTTATTGATGGAAGTTCTTATTGCTAATCTCTTACTCACCGTGAACAAGGATCTCAGATATTTTCAGTATCTTTTAAATATGCAATCCTTTGAAGCATTTTTGCTGCCGTACATGCATACATGCATACATACAAATCATACATATTAGTCACCCAATGCTGTCATTACTTTCACAGGTTTCCTTATATTTTCTTATATTAATATGCAAAATGTATGCATAGTATGATCCTTACATCAAGCATTTAACTCTTATAAGACAAATGAAAATACGCAGCATTTTCTTGGATTCATGAAACACACACAGCACAAAAACAAATAAAATGAAAGTGAGAATATTAGGATACCATTATCATGATACTATTGAAGAACCAGTGTACCAGTGTAAGTGCGTAATGTGTTGTTCGGCATTTGAGTTTGGAATTGTTTTAAAACTTGTATAATATCTTGCTTTTCCTATCATACTAATCGATAAATTGCCGGGTATGCTAAGCTAGTTCATAGCATCCAAATCCATCAAAATTCGTTTACGATGAAGATTGATTTCATTTACGCATTCTATGCATCATCGGTTAATAATTCTCGAGGTTGACACCTATATGACCCATGTCTAATAAAGATTTTTTATATTTTGTTTTTAGATCACTAAATGCCGATCCTCAAGCTGCAGCTATTAAAATTTCAAATTATTTTAATGATTTTTTTTTTGCCTTCCTTATGTTCGATGCATCTTAATGAGAAACAAGTAAGAAAATTAATTTCGGTCGGGATCGAATTTTTTATACCCATCATTATCGTTATTCTAAAAAGGACGAAAGTAGTAGAAGAACAAACATTTCGTGCTCTATAATATGGAGTGGACGCAGCTGATTTCTTCTATTTGCAAAACAAAAGTTTTTGTCGTATAGGCATGTGAGCATTATAGGCTTGTCCTTTCAATTGTTTAGGTTAACTCCAAATTCTTTTGCAAATATGTAGGCGATATCTTCAGTTTTGCTAACGGTAGAATGTTTACCACAAATAGTATAAAGTTGTGCAAACAGACAGATGGACAGACGAACAGGCAGACATGCTTGTGCTACAGTATCGCCCATGGAATATGCCTTCAAATTTTTGCATATTTATCTGCTATAGTTGATGAGCAATGAGCAACAAACCAAATTTTTTATTCCTTTTGAAAAACGGGCGGTGTTCTAAGTTTACGTGGTGCTGTGTGCGTGTCCTTCGAACGATTTAACTTGCGTGCAAAAAACTTCTGCCTAATTTAAAGTCGATAGCTTCCTTTTTGGCGGCAAGAAGAATGTTAACAAGAGACATTACACAGAGAGGCGGACAGACGGACTTGCTCAAATCGATTTAGGATTTGCGGTGTGTTTCTGATGTTTCCTTCTGGGCGTTGCAAACGTTTTAACAAAATGAATATACCACTTATCGTTCGGTGATGCGTATAAAGAGAGCCTTAAAAATGGTTATGATGGATTCTTTTCGTCAAAAATAAGAATATTTCGTTGAATGCAGTGGACGTTTAGAGAGTGCAGAGGCGCTTATAACGAAAAATGTTAAAAAAAATCTTGAAAATTATTTTTTTAAATTCCAAAAATATCAAAGGGCACTGTATTGACTATTTTGGATAAAAATTTTGACAAGAGAAAGCTTTCTACACACAATCCAAAATATCACTGCGTCATAGGTCCAAATTGAATGAATTTCGAATTATTGCTCCACCCTTCGGATTCTCAAGATGCTGTTGAATTTTGCGAAAAAAGAAAGCAGAAATTTATCTTACTTGTTCCCGTTAATTATTGATCGAGGCAATAGTTACAAAGATAAATCAGATACTTACGCAGGGTTAGGTGTAGGGTGTTTTTTTTTTTTTTTTTGGAAATTTGAATGCTGGTAAATTTGAAATTGATTGAGTAATTTAGTAAAGGTCGTTGGCGGTTTCAAGTTTCAAAATGTCAAAAATTCCATATTATGTACAATTGAATGCAGTTATAAAGTTACCTATGAATCAATATTTTTTTATATATTTTTAATTTTTTTTCACTTTGTGCATTGTGCAATTCACAAACACAGAGTGTGACTGATTAAAAGAAATGCAAAGAATAATCATTACATATGATTTAATTGAAAATTAAGAAAAGTGTATCAAGTGAATCAATAATACTCGAACTCGAATTCTAAAAGTCCGCTAAAGAATACTTTAGGTTTTAAATAAATTGTTCTTGACGCCGTTCAATATAATAAGCCTCAGTGCGGTTTTGCCGTTTAAAAGTAAGCAGGGACATCAGTGTTATGTCCTGTCCAGTTGTTGCGTCAACGAAAGGAAATTAAAAAAAGGATTTGTGCTAATTTATGCGGAACATAAAATAATTAGCAGAGAAGGAATAATTTTTTAAAAATTTCCATCATTTTTATCTCTTTTTATGTGTGTTGTTGCTTCCAAGTTGAACGTTATGTTCACAAGGCTTAGCTAATTTTTTTTTTTTTTTTTTTTTTTTAAATTTTTTTAAAAAAAAATTTTTATAAATTTTATTAATTTTTTTTTTTTTTGCATTTATATACAATACGAATTTATGAACTTGGATAAATATGTATTAGTATTTGTTTCTAGTATATTACGTGATTGTATAGGAGGTTGAATATTATTTACAAAAATATAAGTTAATGAAAATTTTGAAAATATTATGCAATTGTATGCAAAACTAATCTAAAATATTTAAATCGATTTCACTGATCGAGCATAACGGTGCTAATGCAATTTCAAGTGCTAATAAATCTTCCTCATTAAATAAATGTCTTAAGCTTACCGTTGACTGATCTAAAGTGAGGGAATCGCGACCGCCAGCGATTTGATGATCGTTGACATCATCATGACCAATATCAGGGCCGCAAGTGTTTATGCAATTTTCCCTAATCTCCATTACGTTTTCGCTTATGTCCGGCTTATCTTTGTGATTAATTAAATTTAAAGATTCATCTAAAAAAAAAAATATACAAAAAAAGAAATCATTAACTCTGTGTATGTGTGTGTGTTTGTGTGTGTGTACGCATAGTATGCACACATAAATGCACCATTCTTGATATTGATGACTTCCGAGAGAAGACATATGCATAGATAATATAATAAGTTGCTTTGTTAAATTTAATGTACACACATACATATAAAGCGGTCTCTCTTAGAAATTCAAGAAACATATTTTTGTATACATTTGTATAAATGCTTGGATTTTAAACACTTAATATGATCGATTAATTCGAAATGGAAAGCTGTGCTCAACTTTCCATAATCAATAGTTTATAGATAGATATATGTGTGGGTTAATAATAAAAAAAATTAAATTTATCCCGTACCTTGTTGATCAATTGTATTTGAATCTTTTGCGTTGACGCTTTCGCAAATCGTATTTTCAAGATTTTCCACTTGATTGATGCTATCAAAATTTGCCTCATTTTCAGCTTTGTCAGTTTCGATGACTTTGTTTTCTTCGGTTTTTAATAAATCTTCATAGGTTTCTTCTGCAACGCCGTCCAAGTGAACGTCCACAGTTAATGGACTATTGGTTTCTTCATTTCTTTTAGTTTCATCATTTTCTTTATTAAGAATGGAGTTGCCATTTTTTAATATGCCTACCAATGGTGCTCCGTTGCTCGATTTCTTTTCGTCGATTGGCAGCTAAACAAATACATGGACGTAAGAAGCAGTGAACGCGGATTTATGTCAATATACCTACCGCTTTATAAGCATAGCTTTGCGTTCCTCCTACACCTATTCCGGGAGATTCATGCATCTTTGTAGCCTGTTCTTTCGACCAGATAATGTCCTCATCCGTTTGCCGCTCAATACGTCGTTTATAGGCTAAATGACTGCGATATACTTCTATCAGGCAACATATAACAATAATTATAAACAAGCCCGTAAGAGTTATGAATACCACTTGTGTTGAGTCTTCTTTTGTAGATTCATCGTACACATATTTTGCCACATATGGTACACGCTGTGGTGGTTCTTCGACCCAATTTTCAACGCTCTATACATGGCCCATAAAATAATCGGAAATTTAATTAATTTTTAAAAAGAAATTACGAAATATTGTAAAGGATATATGTTTGTATGTATATATATATACATATACATATATATTTATGTTTTAGGTAAAAGTCTACTTACTAAACTAACATTAACCATTGGCTCTTGTGATGGCTGTTCGGTGATATCAAATTTGGCCACACATTGTGCGCTGCGTACACCTTGCGGATTAATTACGGTAATATTGTCGGCACCAGATTTTGTGAATAGCATATACTCCTCGAGGGGTTTCATAACATAATTGTTTACTTGTATGTAAATATCTGTAAAATATACAAAATTGCGAAAGTTATCGTTTAACACCAACTACTTTGCTGAGACTTTTACTGCCCAGAAGCTGCAATATATTAATTTTTTTTTGTTTTTTTTTTTTTTTTTTTTTTTTTTTTTACTTCCATTAGAAGAGTATAAGCATACGTTCTTGGCCTTTTAAATCACTTTTTCGTATCATGTGTCTTATTACTTGCTTCGAGCTTGCTTGCTTGCCAGCAAGCAAGGTAACTTTTAATAAAAACTCGTCTCTCTTAAGGAAATTTTTGTATTAAATTTCACTTTTGCATAAGTAAAACTATTTAATGTTAAAACTTTTGCTCACTAACTATAAAAGATTAAAAACTACGATAACTGATGATGGAAAGCCGAAGGAAAAATGTGTCAATGTACATGTGTACATGTACATGTGGTTACCTTTATATGTTAAATAGGACAGAAGAATGGCTTATTAAAACCTCCAGATTTTATGGTAAAAATGGTATGTGGTCCGACAACTATTAACTATATTAACGCGATATTCTGTGTTGCTTAAGCCATAGGCACGTACGATAGGTCAGTGGTATTCGAATTTTCCCAAATTTCAAAAGTGCTCGAGTCATCACGTGGTGATCGGAGGATTAAGTACGCAAACTCGGGAATACGAATTTTTTCATCATCATAGTCTTCGTCGAGAGGGCCCAACGCTTCTTTAACATTTCAATTCGCCACGACTGTGGAAAAATACGCTTCAGTTTTCGTCGTCATTTCACCATTTGATTAAAAATAATTTTTTTTTTTTTATTTTGAGGAATGATATAATAGTGAATGAATGGACAGGGATGAGAGATGAAAAGTGGAAAGGAATGGGAGCAGAGGTGCGGGCGAATTCATTGATTTGTTTTATGATTGAATTTATGTATTTTAAAAAAAAAGAAGCTTTCTTGGTCCAAACTTTCAGGGAAAATAAACCGTGGACTGCGCCTCTATATCTTAAGGATGTCAGCTATCTCTTGCAACTTTAGTATTCAAATATCGAGAATAATTGTCGGGTATAATCCGCTCGCTTTTGACCCCTTTAATATATTCAACGGGGTTGATGTGTTTACGGTCTCTGTTAAAATTCATAAATCACGAAGACAGTGTTATTTATAATGGAGAAGAATCCCCTTCAAGCCATAGCTGAAATTGATCGGTATTTTGATACTCACCGCCGATGAATGGGCAAATATGGGTTTCATCAAAACCGTTTGCAATACGTAGCCGATTCTGAATCGTTTTAAGCATGTTCGTCTGCTTGTCTACCCTTTTGTCTGTCTGTCTATCCGTTTGCGTAATGTCTGCGGTGAACGTTCTCCGCAAAAATGAAGATATTCGGTTGAAATTTGGCGAAAATATTGAAAGTTCTTACCTTCAGGCCCAAATTGGTCGAGGGACACGTCTACAGCTCAAAATAAATTAACAATATATATATTTTTTCCGATTTGAAGGAGTGGGGAAATTTAGTTTTTTTTACTCTTCTCTATCTCTTCGCCTATCACCGAAGGACGGACAATATATTCATTTTGCCAAAAAGTTTAAAACAGTTAGAGTGAAAAGCTTCTGAGATAGATGTGTTCTTGATCAGCATTGAATTCTGAATCGATTTAAGTATGTCCGATTGTCCATCTTTGTATCTCCAACCAGTCAAAGGACACGCCTAAAATGCAACAAAAACTGAGAACATCTTTGCTTTCCCTTTTTTTTTTTTTTGTTTGGCCCGTTACGCAAATATTTGTTTTGATCTTTTTAAAGATACTGGCAATGGGTATAAAAGATTCGGTCACAGCCGAACGGCAATTTGATTACTTATTGCTTTCTACCTCCTCTGGTGAGTGCAAAAATCTGGGGCAAGGATATTGGATATATATTCCGTAATGATAAATGCAGCCTTTTGACTTGTTCGACAATAAGAGCGTAACTGCGTTGCTTTTTAAGATTTATGTTTTAATTAGAAGAAGAGAATAAGCAGACATCTGCGTTGTTCCAAGCAGAAGGAAAGTAAAGATCTTATGTCGAACGACACTGACTAATAGATACCCTAACGTATTTCATCTAAAAGCTTCGTTCTTCGTTTATCTCTATGAAAAATTATATCGAAAATGATGTGTTGGTCCCATGTAAAAATATGCCTTTTATGAAAGCTCTTCGATGGCCTGCAGGCTAAAATGTAAGCTGACGTTGACCGCATTTCACCAAAGTAATTGCCAAAGATGTTGTTATTCTCCTGCTGCTTTTGTCATAAAGTGCTCAAAATTTGACTTTGTTGACAGATAAAGGTCTGCTTTTCATCAGTATCCTACCAAGCGGTGGATTCCCAAAAAACCTATGGAAAGCTATTGAATTCAAATTATCTGCAGTTAATTGTTATGTCGCGTTACCAGTGAAGATCATTTTGCATTCTAAAATATTAAAAAAATGAAAGCTTTTTCAGGAACGGTTGTATGAGAGTATGTTCAAAAATTGACGCATATTTTATATATCTAGGGGGTAGTCGTAAAAGGGCTATAACCATTTCATTTTCTATGATCTCACATATTGCTACCTGCAAGTTGAATATAATATACATTGGCAGGTATCAGACTTAAAAAGAGACAGACACGGACGGACACACAAGTTTAACTCTGGAGGCTTAAAAATAATTATATAACCGAAGGTGCCAAAGAAGTTGGAAGAAGTTCTTCTGGGTGTTAAATACATGTGTCGACAAATTAATATACCACATGTGATGTAGAGCATAATAATACTACAAAAATGCTATAGAAATCTTTCAAAACAGATCGCATCCTAAAGTGGTTTTATTGAACATTCCCAAGTTTAGAAAACGTAGTTAAACATTTTTAAGAATAATTTTACTTATGCTCGTAGAGAGTGGTGTACGGAAATAAACACATATTTTTGCTGGCCTTACGTCGCCAAAAAAAGTAATGAAATATTTTAACCTTTTTATTTGGGCGGGTGGGTGTGTGTTCACGTGTATGAAACTAAAACGTGCCGACTGCCGTTGACATAAGTATTATATTTACACAATGCCCCTATGTACAAATACAGTGACAAATGCTTTTCTATGCGTATGTGTGTAGATAAAGTTCTCTATCTCTCTCTCTCTCTCTCTTTATATATATATATATATATATATATATATATATATATATATATATCTTTTTGTATACATATGTTATATGTGCGTATGAGGATACTTACTGGACAGGCAACCACTGTAACTTTTGAAAACAGCAAAACGAGTATCCGTAGTGTTAATGCCACCGATTTGCACACGATTAGCACTCATATCAGCAGACGGTGTCAAAACTCTAGCGGTAATTGCTTGCAGTGGTACTTGTTCGCGGTCTATGTAAAGTGTTGCTTCCGTCAAATTGCGTATATAATAAATGGAATGACGAGCGTTATTTAAAAAATTACGTTCGATACGAGCACCTACTGCGGGTCCTTCACGATCCTCCTCGAATAATAAATAGCCATCAGCCGTTATGGCTACCATTAAATAGTAGCTACGTTCGGCTGCTGTTTGCAAAAGCAACATAATGCGATTCGCTCGTCGCAAATCCAATGACGAGAATGCCAGTTGTAAACGCACCTGATCTACTTTGCCGGCCAATTCGAATTTACGCTGTAGCGTACTTTCGCCACTAAAATCAGCCCCTTTCTCTTCCATACAAAACTCGCCTAGGAAACTGGTGTGTTCGCAGTCGCATGTTGATTCTTGTTTGGCAAAATTCTCGCGACAAATACCTCCATTTTTACAAGGCTCAGCGTCGCATTTAATTTGACAATTGGGTAAAACGCCATCAAGGTCTTCACACAGGTTAATGAGAGACAAAAGAACAGAAAATTAAATGATTCAAATTAACAACAGGATGTTGCAAATTGTATGACAAGCAAAAGCAATTTCATTAATGATTCAAACGACTACCGATTGACAAGAAAATGAAGGAGAGTGAGAACATAAAGGACATAGTTGGATAGATGGTTAGATAGATAGGTAGATAGATGCAGAAAGAAAGAAAGAAAGAAAGAAAGAGAGAGAGAGAGAGAGATAGATAGATAGATACAGATAGGGAGGAGAAATAGAATTGAAGGTAAGTAATGATTTATAATAGCATAGTTAACCGTATAAGTTTGTATGTGCCGATGTGTCTCTACGCACGCTTATGCACGTATATTTATGTGTATGTGCATATGTTTGCATTGAAGTATTCACTTAACCAATTTATCCGATTAGCATGAATTTCATTTGGCAATATGGTAATTGAAACGCTCTACTGAACAATCTCAAGTTGCCATAAAGGAAATTGCAAACTACACTCATTGGAAAGTTACATACATACATACACACATATATATATATATATATATATATA